TATATATATATATATATATATATATATATATATATATATATATGTTGATACAACAATAAAATTTCTGTATTATTATGGTTTTCTGAAAATGTTTATCAGTAAAAATTGATTATGCACTGTTACTACATAAAGTTTCTCTATGTAAATTTTCTATATGCAAATTTTTGTAATATTTAATTTGTAATATTATAATTTGCAAATTTTAGAATTCACTACTTTTTCAACAAAAAATTTAATTTTGCATTCGAAAACAGTGGCTTTGAGTAATCTTCAATATAAACTTTTACGCCAATTGAATGATTTATTAAATCTTTGGGTCGCTATTTTGAATTTTGAAATTTTGACTTCCGATTCAGATTCAGTGACTAAAAGTCCCCTTTACTAAAAATACTAAAACTTACTAACTCCTTCATAATTTTATTGACTCTTTTGTCAAAAGAGTATTTTTGGCCTACTGACATTTTTCTCACTCAATAAACAAAGAGTTAATAAGATAAAAGAAATTGTACTTTTGAAAAATAAAATTGATAGCAAAAGGTTTAATATGCGATCAAATATCAGTTGATTTTTTAACGTTGGAAGTAGTAATTCGTTCCTTTGGGGCATAATGCACTGTTTTATCTTGGTCCATAGTCCGACCATTTAGCGAACGTGCTTTTCGACAGACGTCAATCAGTCGAAACCACGAGAGAATGCTTTCGCAGCGCAACAATACACGGTAGCGCGTGAAATATGAAAAATTCCAATATTTTTAGTCGCGGGCTAGAAGTGCGCCAGAACGTATGGCTATTCGAAACCATAGTTTATTTACAATAATTACACGTCGGTGAAATACGAGCTCTCTTGTTTTGATTATTGACGTTGAATGGGTCTTTCCATTAGACGTTCTACCGCAAATGTTTCAATTTACCGGACAACTGAAACTTCCCCTGCGAGGGGAATTTTTCCTTTTTTTTTGGGATGTATACACTGGGATGTATGCATTTTTTATTTCCTTGTTTTATCACAATTAAAATGAAGGGACTTAAATCGCCTTTGTCTACGTGTGCAACGCGCATCTCACGTTTCTGGTTAAGCGAGAGTTCCAAACTGCAGTTATCTGTTTTTAACGTGGCATTGAGTGCGCTGTGTGTGGTTTGTAAACGTACGAAACAAAACATTTCGCGATATCGCGTTGCAACCAATATGGATTCTACTATTTGAATTTATATGGTAATATCGCTACTTTACACACCATCCATTTATTCTTTGTGCACGCGCGTACGCAACTCCATTATTTTCGATCAGTCCAGTGCGAAAGAGAGACAAAGTGTCGACATTTTGAAGCTGATGTGTTCACGCTCTGTCGTAGTTAAGAGTAGAGGAAATTTACGCACACACGCAGCGTGCTTGTTTATGCATTCGCGAATCGCCCGGAGGAAATGCGTCGCCCTAATTTCAAGATATTCGAAATGAACGAATTGGCGCGTCACCGACGGCTCTCGCACTTGCAGATCGATAGGCCACAAGGGCGAGCCATATCATGATCTAATTTACCCGAAGATGGCACAGGCCGTCGTCATGATGATGCTGACGGCGCAGGATCACATGGAGCGGCGGCGTTGCAGCTTCGAACTTTACGGCGCCGACTTCGTGGTCGCCGAGGACCTGTCGATTTGGCTGATTGAGAACAACACGAATCCCCGCATGCATCCGCCCAGCTCCAGAATCACGAAGCGCCTCTACTCCAGCGTGCTGGAGAGCCTGGTGAAAGGTGAGAGCGCGGCGAGAGCTGAGGCGAGCGTTGCGCGCGAACGGGAAAGTTGTCAAGTGTTCCACGTTCGCCGGAAAGTTCTTCCGCCGGCTGACAAACGAGGGTGGACACGGCTGGATGGTAGTGGATGGCCGGTGTGCTATCGACATCTTGTTTCGCAGGGAGCTTCAGAAATCGCGGGAGTAACGAAAGCTGCGAGCGCGGCTTGCGATTAGACAAGTTACACGCGTCATCTCGGACGGACGGACGGACGAACCGACCGACCGACCCGAGACGGTGCTCTCTTGCTCTCTCCCTCGGCTTCGCCAGGGTGATAACGGCGGCCATAATTCGCGGCGACGTAACGCCGATAAGCGCCACGTGCCCTACGTGATGGATTTACGCGAGGAATTAACCGCGTTAGCGAGATTTCCCGGGCGCAATTATCGAGCTCGAAATGGCCAAACACCTGATTGCGTCGATTATATCTTTTGTGTGCTCTCGAGATTATGTCCTGTCTCGAGGAGTGATGTGGAAGATTTAAGCGCGGCTGTAATTGAATCGAAATCATTTTGAATATTGAATCACTACAAAAAATGGTCTCGCAGTTGTAGCGACTGCAATTATCTAGATACGAGAGAGATTCGTTAAGATGGATAAGTGACTAGCGAACACTGCGATATCGCACATGTTTCGCATTTCATCAAGATGACAGAGTTTTTATTTAAAGTGCTTGTAAAATTTAAGAAGTACTAAAGAAAGTCTTTCTTTTTTTCTTTATAGCGCCCATCCAGATTAAAGCCAATCGTCATACACTCAGTCTCATGGGTGCTATATCATCAATAGTAACTAAAGACTTTTGGACAGCTGCATTAATTTCTAGCTACGCGTTTTCCATGACTGTTGATCAATCGAAGAAGCGGGAACGTTCAAAGCAAAAGTGACATTTTGACAGATTGACGTGTCGTAGTGTCAATAAAGGGGATTCATATATAGAGTGTCCGGTAACTCATGGAGTGATGACAGATCAGGTCAAAACAACGGGATAACAAAATTCCTCTACCATTTTACGAATAACCACATAAAATTTTGAGTTATTGATCAAAGAAAATTCGTGAATGATCACGCGCCATACGGCAGATGAGCTGTGATGGCGACATCTGCCTCTGTATGCTTATATATTAGATCAAACTGAACAAAAATTCCTTTATTATTTTTCAAATGCCTATGTTTAATTATTAATTAAAGAAGATTAGTGCATTATTGTGCACCATTGTACACTAATCTTTTTTAATTAATAACTAAACATTTACGTGGTCATTTGAAAAGTGGTAGAGGACTTTTTTGTTCAATTTTATCGAATATACAGCAGTAAACGTCGCTATCACAGCTCATCTATCTGTATACGCGTGATTACTTATGAATCTTCTTTAATTAATAACTCAAAAATTTACGTGGCTGCTTGCAAAGAGGAATTTTTTGTTCTGTTTGATCTAATCTACCTGTACACCGCGGCTTTTTCGTAAGTTACCGGATATTCTGTATAATTAATTGTATAATAATTATGATAATATGCATATACATCTTTCTCCGATTAATTATTTAAATTAATTTTATATATTAATCTCTTACTTATCTCTTAACCTTTCCCTCTACTCTCCTTCTACTGTACATCATATATATATATATATGAACAAATAACCCTTTTTATTGACAAGTGCGACACGTCGATTTATCAAAATGTCACTTCTGCTTTGAACACATTCTTGCTTCTTCGATTGATCAACAGTCATGGGAAACGCGTAGTTAGAAACGAATGCGGTCGGCCAAAAGCCTCTAATTATTATCGATATGTCGATAGCATCTATGAGATTGAGTGAACTTCTAATCTAAAAATTGACTGTAGTAGATAAAAAAATTTACCGCCAAAAAACGAACAAAGGTATAATTTTTACATCTATTTAAATTTGCAAATATTACTAAAATGCTGCTACTATAAATTTTACGCATTATAGACAATTTTCTAGCAAATACAAAAAGCGGTGATGAATTTCAACTGACATTTAGAATTTTACCTGCATTAGCGAGACAATTTTTTGAGTGATCAATGACGCTTCTTTTCCATCGTGAGGATTTCATGAACAATAACTTCCTCTTATTAGAAAATCGCTCAAGCCCGTTGTACTTGCATATTGAGAGATATTACAACGCGAATGAAGATAGCGCGTAAAGATGTAAAAGTAAAGTATCTTATCTATGTTATCCCGACGGTGGAACGTCAAAGAAAACTTACCGTTGGGAAAATGCCAGAGTACTTTTGCGATATATAAAATTTGATCCTGATAACACGAAGATACCGTGGCCCGCGAAATAATGAAATTCTTTTAGTACGGTCATCGACAAATTTAAACAATGAGGCTTTGTGAGCCGTGGCGTTGCATAATGAGCTTGCCCGAATTCCTGAATATTCCAGTCTGCAGTTTGAAGATAATTCTATGCGCCCCCGATCCTTTGTCCGTGCGTACGGGCGGCTTTTTATTATTGAATCTCATATCCTATCTCTTCTAGAGAAGCTCTCTCTGTCTCTCTCGGGGCTCGTTTATATCGCATAATAAAACCGTGCTCTGATTTATCTCTCGATTCATTTCGAAATATTCAATTTATCAGATCGGGCGCGAGATCAGGTCGAGCATTAAACGTTTGAGCATTAAACGAATTGATGTACTCTTTCTCGTAAGAACAGCAAATGTTGCGGAAATTTGGCCAGTTTAAACTGACTCTTTCACGATTACATATAGAAATATTTGGAAAATTATTTCTTTTTATAATTCATCGAATATTTAATTATTCATAACAAATATTTGACTATTTATCGACAACTTAATTATTTATCGAATATTTTTCCATATGTAATTTATCATGCATAATTTTTGCGCATTAATCCGCGGCAAATAAAATATATTTTATTTTACTCGTGTATGTTTTGAGAAATTTAAATGCTATTTTATTCCGTTGAAATTGAAATTGAAGATACGGTGAAACATGAAGAAACAGAAAATTCAACGATGTCGACATATCATACACAGTGATTTCCGATATTTCTCTCTCCTCGTTCTTTCCACTTGATCCTCTCTCTTTCCCGCCACGATAAATGCAGATTCGCGCGAAGGGATTTAAGAAAAGGGATCTCGCCGCGGTTGCGTCGCGGTCTCTCGCAATCTGCTAATCTACTTTCTGCAAACACCATCGCCGCGATCTAGTTAAGAGCGATTTGGTAGCGTGGCGCACGTGAAGACCCTTCGGTCGCTTTGCCGATGCTGCTTGCAGTGATAATGGACGCGCCAGTGGACGCTTGCGCCGACACGGGTGGCTTCAGTCTACTCTACAAGCAGTACATACCCGACTTCCAACCTTACCTCGGTCCCTGCCTCTCTGTGGCCGGCGAGTCGATGACACTGCACGAGCAGCCGCGGAAGCCGGAGAAAGAAAGAAGGACAAACATTTGCGGTCCCTGGAGCAAGCAACGTGCAAAGACCGCCCCGCCCATGATCCCACACTCGAGAGAGCCAAATGTGGTCGACCTTATTGACCACTTGAACGCGGCGCGATGCACCACGGCCAATTGACGCGACGCCTTTTCGGCCGGCGCCGAGGGACAAACAGGAGCGAGTCATCCGGAACGTAATACCTTCGATCCCTTCAATTTCTGCAAGGTACTTTCTAAAGTGCAACCAGTGCATTCTCCACCGCTGTACTTACAGCTGGTGGTTCAGTTATAAGTGCAGCACTGCGATCAGTAGAATCTCGCCCACAGAATCAGCTACAGTAACGATTATTGTCGCATTCTGCGAGTACAGACGGTGTCATTGTACGTAAGGTACAAAAGAAGGCCGCTAATTCTGTCGCCTCAAACGCAGAAAGTTGGATTTGCTGTAACGTATGACGAATTTGTGTTCTACAGATTTTATACAGTGGAATCTTATTTCCTCCGGTCAAAATCAGTGGGAAGCGAGATGGAATAATAAAATGGGAGTGTTTTCACTGAAAATCAGTGCATACTCACTGATCTTTACACTCCTTTCACCGATTCAATCAGAAATATTATTACTGATCGATCTTAAGAGAGTAACGGTTCGGTAGCCGAGTATTATGTCGTCGCGTTTTTGTCATCACTATCTCTTGGCGAGGCATTAGCGCGAGCATTTCCCTCACGTTGCCGGTCACTTTCGAGTTTACACTGAAATGGAAACGACCTTGTGACCTCGCGACCTTAATATTGAGAGAGGAAAACGTAGAGCCTTGCGCAGTGACGAGAGACAGCAAAGAGACACGGGGAGGAGGCCGCCGGTTTCTGATTAATCGAGGGTACAATCGTGCGCGCGCGCGCGCGCGATTGAACGCGAAATTTACACGCCCGTATTTTTTCACGGTAAATTTAGCGTCACGCCGCGTGTAATTAACGAGCGCAAGATAGCGCGGCGTAATTAATGTTGTCATTAGCGGCGATGTCCGCGCCGCGCCGGAGTTTCTTCTTTCCGCGTCCCCGAGGAGAATCGCGCGGCACGAAGGAGCGCGCGCCAGTCTTGAGAGAGTATAACGATGCAAACTTCCTCGAAATATATATATATATATATATATATGTATATAATGCACTAAACTTTCCCAGTTTGCGTATCGACGCGATACTTTTGCGAAGAATTCGCGCGTAATGACATTAGCAAGAGGTAATGTTATTAGCGACGGTTTTACTCACCTGACGTACATGCAGCGATAATGAGTGAAGAAAGATTCATTGAGAGGAGATCCATTGAGAGCGTTGAGAGTCTAGAAATTAATTACGGTGAAAGTACAAATACCTGGACAACATTAATAATACTGGCGTTATTAACCTAACAATTTGTGACATTCTTATTGTTTTGGGGTCTTTAAATACAAATAACTCTTTAAACTCTCTAAACGTATATGTGTATGTATTCAATATGTGCGTAAGGTATCTAAATTATTGACATTATCGCGCACAATCATATGCGCTAGTCTTCTTTAATTAATAACTGAACATGGACAATTTGTAAAATGATAGAAGACTGTTTTGTTCAGTCTGTCCTAATATACACATTGCGCCAAAATAGTTTCAACATTTTTTCCACATAGCATGAATAAAAGATCTCCATACAAAATGCATTTACATACTTGTGCATCATTGTCGACTATTCCGAAAAAGTGACAACGTTGTCTAGAAATAATTGTGACATTGACATGCTATGAAGCTCATATTAATGGTCGTTACTTGAAATTCCTCTCAAGTAAGATACTCAGATTTCAGTTCATTAAATGAAAGTTTTTCAGTTGAATTACGATTGCAGATATAATATCACACATAACTCAGCTGAAAAAAGTTCGGATCCAACTCAAATCCAAATCCAAATACAAATCGAAGTGTCTCACGCGAGACAAGTTTCAAATGACAACTATTGATATGGTCTTAAGCTTATTTTCCGATATGTATACATACATGTATGTATATCAATATTCCAATTCGAGATGCAATTCTCCTTAATCGAGATTTATCTTGAGAAATATTTTTAATTACTCTTAACTTTCACGAGAAAGTTTATAATACTGTCCTTACTTTAACGTATATTGTATATTTTGAAGGTTTAAATATTCGTATTTAAAAGCTAAAGCAATAAGAATGTCCAGAGTTAGGTATACTAGGTATTGAGGTATTCAGGTACTAGTACTTTTACCAATTATATATTCAATATACTCACTGTTTTGAAAAAAATTAGAATAAAGACATCATTTTCGACGGCAGCCTTATGCAAAATAGCATTAAACAGCGTTTTTAATTGTTTGCTCGTGTCATTTAAATTTGGATATTCATTTGAATATATCGTTGAATCTTTTCCAGTGAGTTGGTTTGAAGTCATCGCGTTTTATCACGTCGGCGGAAGAGATTTTACGACGGCTGTTCGGCGAACCTCTCATGCATAAGTACCAGACACTCAAGATAAAGACAATCGTTTTATTATTGATATGTACATACAATAAATTTATTTACAAATAATACAATAAATTTTGACGTCGTAAGTTATTCTTGATGATATATGTTAACAAAATACTACGCTCTTACCGATTATTGTGCCGTGCTGATATTTGAAAACTCTTTTGGTCACGGAGGTTTCTTCGTTTCTCTTTCTCTCTCGTGTTTTCTGATTTTTATTTTTCTCTCTTTTTTACGTTTCACACGCTTCTTTTAATGTGAACGGTAAATGTTCTGGTTTTTACCCTGCGCAAATATTTACCCAAGAAACGTTAACGACGTTTAGACGTAGGCAATTCGCGAGCCTCGGCGGTCCCGTTTCTCTCGCTTCATCGTGTGTCGGGGTGAGTGTTTCGTTTTTCCTTGTTTTTTTTTTCCTTTTACTGTACTTCTCGCCTTATATAAACATTATATTAGCTATCACTAAAATTATAAAACAAATCGGCCGTGCCTTGGTGTACGACGAGCTTCCGTCCCCGTGGTGCATCGCGGCTGGATGTTCCTCTGCAACAGAAATTTTCATCGATTCGACATGATGTGGACGAAAGCGTGGCACGATCAGTTTCCGTATCGTTTTATCGCGCTACGGCAGAAACAAGATCTTGCGCACTAAATTCGAAAGCCACTGAGTGGCCAGTTTTTGAGACAGTTTTTCAAAAGATCAGTTTCCAAGTCTGGGCCCTGATACGCAGGAAAACTTGAGCAGTAAGACTTAAACAGCAAGAAAATTGACCAATTACAATCAATTATTCTTGAATCGTAAGAAGAAACATCGACTGTGATTGGTCAATTTGTTTACTTAAGTTTTATTTATTTATTTTATTTATTTATATGGTAGGAACTTTTTCCAGACATAGTACATAATCGGAAAAGAAGATAAAACTATACAAAGAGTATAAAATATTGCGCAAAACAAGTGAAACAAATACATCATATAGGTGTTATTGATTTACGAAATATATGTGAATATGTAAGGAAATTACAAGCAGCGCAAAGACCACCATAAATGTGAATGTAACGAGTCGCTAATCGTAAACCATCAATTTTATAGTAATTTATTATTTAATTGCCCAATTAACGCTGTCGCAATAGAAGACATAAAAGCAGCAATAGATCCAGTGAAGAAATTGCAAATACGAAATAATAATAAATAAAATTGGAACGTTATATATTATATTGATTTTAAATAAACGTGGATAAAATAAGTAGAACCAACGAATGGAAAGCGTTAAAATTGATTGATATTATCAAATGCACGCAATTGCAATTTATATTGCAATTAACGACATTATAGTTGAAAAGTCGCGTTATTTGCGAGTAGTCATGATCTCGAATATTCATGAGCGTTCTAATGCTTCAACAGATAAACCTAATAAATTTATTGTACCGTCCCGACCTGTTTAATGTAGCTTGCTAAAGTAACTAGATGACACGCGCATGCTCGAAGTGAGGACAAACTGATGACACATAAAGCAATCTTACCCCTTACAGCCCTGAGTTTTTTTATCGATCCAATTTTAATGAGTTGTATGTATACTGAGGTGTTTTTGGCCGTACTGATGACGAATCCGAGGTCAGAATTGCAAAGATCAAAACGCACCTTCAATTTGGCAATCAGTAAATATTTAAATTTTGTAAATTTGAACCAATTGAATGATTGATATGTATAGATTGCTGATAACGAATCCTGATAACGAAGGTTAGAAAGTTGCAAAATTCAAAATGGTGGATACAATATGCCACGACAGCCACGAAGAATCGTATTAATGCAATTTTTATATTTACTGTCATATTGAATTGCCACTATATTGGATCCGCTATTTTGAATTGTGCAATTCTAATCTCGGATTTGTCATCAGCGATCACAAAACCGATACATAATATTTTGATATCGTGTCTATATATTTATATAGCTCGTAGACTTTTATTATGTATGAAATATCAAAGAAACAATTTGTTTTTAATATATTTTTTATTTTTCTATATAAAATCTTATTTTCTGTACAACAGATGTACGTTCTACCCAAAAAGCTATTTTTTTTAATAGTGCAACAAGGGGATTACTGAAATACATTGATCCGTTCCAAAGTTACACAAATACCTTTTTGGGACAGCATATTGAATCCCATCAGGCTGGGAAGGATTAAAGAATACTTTTAAGATCGCGTGAGAAACATTTTGCTGCTTACGTTTTTTTGCACATGGCCGGTCATTACAACCCGCGCGCGATCGCGATTGGAATTTACATTGGAAAATACGTGTAGGACGCGTAAAATCGACGGATCGTCGACTCGACGAAATTGCCGCGCGGAATTCAAACAGTTCGGCCGCGTCGCGTCGGGTCATTTTCATCGGAAAACCGACGGAAATTCCACGCGCAAACTCCGAAACTAATGATGCGCCGGATCTCACCTAATCACTTTAGGCTAAATCGAAGGCTATCGATATGCGGCGCGTTTCAGCGCTTTCTGCGAATTAAGCACGGTGGCTTTAACAAGGCGGCACGGCGGCGACGGCTATATAGGCCGACGAGAGAACGCGGTGCGTTGGAGCGTAAGCGCGAATTTTCAGGCGGCCACCGTGTGTACACGGTGACCAGTCGGCCATTCTTTTTTTTCGCCTTTATTTCCGTTTTTCATCTCGCACAGAAACAAACGAGCTGCATGCAAAAATATTCGAAAAGCATTGGATACATCGTGCAACGAATGCGAAAAAAATTCGGTATACGCGATACGCGCTCATGCGCGCGCGAAAACGTATGCCGGGCCGGATGACGTTGACACGGATGACGATAACATATTATCGTGCATGCATATCGATGGACCATTGTATCCGGTCAAGCCGTCAGCTGTTGCTCTAAACAGTTAATGCTTCAAGTTTGTAATTAATATGTCCGCCCTCTGATTACACAACACGCCGATCATTCGTCATGTATTGTAAAGCACGTACGGGAGAATTGCGGGGGAAAATTGATACCTGATTCGTATCGGAAATCCATGATGAATCCGCGACAATGCATTTACCAATTGTCTCACTGTTTGTGTTACCACGTTATTCCTCTTCATTACGACTTTATTTAGAACGATCGTCTTCCGCGTTCGCGTCGCGAGTCTCTCTTCATCTTCGGCACAAAATAACGAATCGGTCTGGCTCGCGCGAAGCGAAAAGTGCGACATCCAGGGACGATGAAACAATTCACGCAATCAACTCGTAAGCGTTGCGCAAAGTCGTATCGCGCGCTTGATTGCTGACAGCGCGAGAAATAAAACTCGTGAATTCCGCCCGCTTCGAAAATGTATCGAGTTACGAACGAGACGGAAAAAGCTCCTCCTCTTCCTTTTGGACGGGCCGAGCACACAATCCGCTTTCGTTTGATTTTATTTCACTCCGTAGCCGGGCGCGCCGGGAAATTGCGCGAGATTTTCGCGCGGGAATCAGACGTTAAATTGCTTTGTCATCGCGAATCGACGCACTTCGCGCGACGCGCTGTACCGTCGGGTGTATATGTGTACCACGGGATGAAAGGAACGGAGGGGGAAAGAAGAAGAGACAAAAAGAAATGAAATAGAGACAAGAGAAACAAGCTTTCGAAATCCACCGCATTTCGCAACTGCACGTACAAAAGATCTATTCGCGGTGTTCCGCCGCCCGAGCAATCGACTAGCCGCAGCCATCGATTTCAGGCTTAATGCGCGACTTGCCGGGCATATTCGAAGCTTGCGGTGCTTACAGAGAAGTCAATCAACGTTATTTCTCTCTCTCTCTCTCTTTCCCTTCCTCCCTCCTTCTCTCCCTCTCTATCCTCCATCTTCTTTTCCGCAGTCTCTCCAATATCTTCCTTTTTCCTTCTTTTTTTCCCTCTTTCTTCCTCCTTCCGTCTTTTTCTCCCTCTTTCCTCCTCTCTATCTTCTTCCTCCCTCTCTCTCCCTCCTATCCCCTCGCTTTCTCTCTCTTACTCTCGGCAAGTCTTCCTCCTCGTCGTGGACTATTTTTCCTCGATTCGTTGTAATTGCGGTGAAACCGTTTTTTTTCCAATTTAGAAGCTGGCAAACTGCTGCCGTTGGTTAGAAATTGGAAAAAAAAGTTTTGCGTCGACGGGCCGTGAAAAATTGAAAAAGTGCGAGGGGGAAGAGACAGGGAGAGGGGGAGAGAGAGAGAAAGAGAGAGAGAGTAGAGTGCAAAAAAAATAAGGTATTCGTCGAGAAAATAACTGTTTTACAGTAATACGATGCGCGAGTCGCGCGCGCAAGTAAATTCTAACTCACCGTTAACAACGTGCACCTTTATTGTACTGGGATTCGCGTTGCTCGGCTCGCATGTATATTGACCGGAATCGCTCGGCACGGCTTTCTGGATCATCAAGCGACTCGTTGTTTCGGGACCTTTCTCCGTGACAAGACTGATGCCGCCGCGCGGCGAGTCGAAATTGATAACCTGGACAAAATCACAACGTTGGCGTTTATGTTTGCAGGATCATGCGACAGTATATGCGCGCGTGTGACATACTCCCGCGATTAATCGAAAGTGGCACAGGCAGCGCAGGCACGAGGACCAGTAACGGAGAGACATTAAATTTACATACTGTGTACTCGCGGTCTCGCAATATCTATATGTATAAAATAGAATGTCTATCTACATGTTCCCTATTAACTTCTAAACCCTTTGACCGATCTGGACCAAATTTTGCATAGTTGCTCCTACGGAAAATACAGGCTATCATGAAACCTGGACACCTCACTCCCTTTCATCGATTTCATCCCCTTGACACTTTGTGCTGAATCGGGCAACGCCGGGTAGTTTCAGCTAGTCCGCTGTAACAGTAATGTCATTCGAGATGTACGATAATGCGATTAAATTGCCGATTGAGACGAACTTATTGATTGGGTGAAATGGCGCGATACTCGCGTCGAGTCTCTCGGGAATCTCTTGTTCCCGCCTGGCAGGAACAATAATGGTCTGGCTGAAAATAATTTTCCTAAAGATACACAAGCTGTCTTAATAAATAGCTGATGGGCAATTTTGCAGGAAGTCGAATCCCCTGCCTGAGGTGGCTCTCATTCTCTGCGCGTCTCGCGACTTGCACTTGTCACGGGAATGAGACACCGTCTATCTGGAGCTTTACCACCGAGTGAGTTTCCAAGGACGGAGCTGTTCGAGTTGCGGGAGAAAGAGAAATGATAGCTTCGGGGGTGCTTCGCGAAGGTAATGTCGGAAATAAAAGCTAACTCCCTCCTCTCTTTTGATTCGCGTCGCCTAATATCGAACACGTAGGCGCGCGCGTGCGACGCCGTATGCGCCCTCGTCCGCAATCATTCTCTCAAAGACGCCGGCGCCTGTGTTTCCTTATATTTCCCCGGAATCCTCGCTTTTTCCGACAACGCAATGACGCTCCTTTGGCAGAAGATAAAAGGCGTCTTTCTCCGAGCTGCGAGCTAAAGAATAGCAGACTGTATTGATGCTGTGTGTGTATATGTGTATATATATGTGTATATATATATATATATATATATATATATATGTATATATATACGTATTTTCTGTATTCCCTTTGAGGATAGACACGTAGTGGCACGCCCCGCGTGCAGAACGTGAAATATCCACCGCGTTTCTTTTCCCCGCGTTTTGTTTTCGTTCTCCCCTCGAAAGGCTAACTCACCATACCGCCGCGCTCGACCGTGATACGAGAGGAAGAGGGAGGGGGGAGGGGGTGGCAGAGAGGAATCGTTTCGCCCGTGCGCATCGCCTTACGGAATAAATGATTATCCGCGAATCGAAAGCCGCCGTGAATTAATCGGAAAATAATTTCGTTCCTTGCTGCCGCGGCAGTGCGCCAGGCTGATCTTCTATTTCGCGCTTTACTTTGATCAACGTGCGCGATAGTACCTTGCGAAAATTGCGTTACCTGCCGTTTCATTCTAGTAAAAGCGGCGCAGCCAGGCGAGAGCGTAGCCGCGTGTATCTACGATATATCCGGCGACCGATGGCGGAGCGATCTATCGGCAATCGGCCGAGAAATTACTTTTTTTTTTTCATCGACGCTTGCGCGAGTTTTTAGTACGTGCCGCGCGGTACGAGCACGGTACGAGCACGGTATGAGCGTCTCATTAGTGCGCGCGTACGGAATAATCTCCGCTCAGCCGGGCTCAAAAGCGGAATTACAAATATTGGTTCGCGGAGGGCGAATTTTTAAATTATCCCATCATCGCGTGGTGGAACGACGTGATGGAACGCGATTCGACATCGTGAAGCGATTCTGTCGCGAAATCTTTTTATGATGACGTCGATATTAATGTAAGCCGTTCCTTTACGTTCCGCGGAATTCGTGAGATTCCCGACGAACCCTGTCATACAATGCTGTCGTTGAAGCCGAGATGTAGCCTCCTCACGCTGAGGTAATACGCGTCGATAGAGCCACCGATCGCGCACGTTGTTACTTGGCGCGCTGTGAAGAGCGATTACACTGATTTGGCGTTACAAGTCACAGGTTTGCCGGTGAACTCGAAGAAATGTGAATGGCATGTAGCATTAAAATGTCAAGTTTTAGGGAAATCTAGAAGGATCCTTGAGGATTTAAAAAAGGAGGATTTTTATTTCAAATTTAAAGATTTGCGGTACCTGACGTTAGATTGAGATAAAAAATCCCGTGAAATCCTACGTTTATAACCATATTTTTGGGGACATACAGTACAATCAGGGTCTGTTAAACAACTCTGAGCTACAACTTTGTTGAAAGTCGATATTTTAGGTACCTCTTCCTTCAGAGATGTATGTGGGAAGTCTCAACTGCAAGACAGTACAATAAAATCAAAATCTGCAAACAGATTTGCGCTATTTTGAAATTTTCTCTAAACTTTTACGAAACTTGGTGGGCGATCGAATATTTGTTCGGGTCTCAGAGAACCATTATTATACGCACGGAGGATTAATCCGCGTATATCGTATTTTTTGGAACATACAGTATAATCAGAGTTTATCAGACCTGAGCAACTTTGTACTACCACAAACTCGTTGAAAATTTTTGACACATTTCTTTCCAGAGATATGGAGAAGCCTCAATTGTAAAAGATAGTAGTGCAATAAAATCAAAATCTGCTAATAGATTTGTGGTTTTTTGAAATTTTTACGAAATCTTTATGAAACTTGGTGGGCAATCGAATATTCGTTTCAGAAAGCTATTCTTGTACGTGGAAGGTTAAATTCTGTGCTTATATCATATTTTTACAATTTGGATCTGTCAGATCTGAGCAACTTTGTACTACTACAACTTCGTTGAAAACTTTGGACATATTTTCTTCCAGAGATATGGAAAAGCTTCAACTAAGATAGTAGATAGTAAGATAGTAGCGCAAAAAATTCAAAATCTGCAAACAGATTTACGCCGTTTTGAAATTTTCTTGAGATCTTTTCTCGAGATCTTACGAAAGTTGGTGGACAATCTAATATTTACTCGAGTCAGAACCATAATTGTAAGTGGGCGGTTAATCTTCCGCACATATAATATTTTTGGAGTATACAGTACAATTTGATTCTGTTAGACAACCTTAAATTACAACTTTGTTGGAAATCGATATTTAGACATCTTTTCTTCTAGACATCTAGGAAAGCCTTAGCTATAAGATAGTAACATAAGAAAATCAAAATTCGCAAATAGATTTGCGTTATGTTGAAACTTTCTTGAAATCTTTACGAAAGTTGTTGAATAATCGAGTATTCATTCGAATCTCGCAGACTCAATATTGTACGCGGAGTATATGCTCATATATGCTATGATGAATGGTCCTGAAAAATAAGTCACGTCGTATTCAAAGACCGTCATTCTTTCTCGACATTCCTCGTTATTCAAGCCTAAGGCCAGATCCATTATAAAATTTTTACCTTGCCCGAATTCAAAAGCGAATCTCTCTCGTTAAAGGGAATTTAAAGGCTCCTCGTGTCTGCGGCTCCGTGGAAACTCGACATTCTCGAGTGGCCTACTTGCTGGTTCGACACACTCACCTCCCTGTTATGACTCCAAATCATCATCGGGGGTGGTTCGGGGGCGAATCTTACGATGCACGTCAGATTGATGGTGCTGCCCTTATTGACGAAGAGGTCCGGCCCTCCGACTATCACGGTTACCGGCTCTAAAACAAGCACAAGACGTCCGACTTGAGACTGGCTGTGACTACTTGACGGTTGTGTGCAAGCAGGTCGGTTAAACGACCGTAGTCGGGCGATATAAATCTCGCCGTATATTCGATATTTTTATCGCGACACACACACACACACACACACACATAGCACACTTGTCTTCTATGACCCGGTAGACGAGCTTTTGGGTCAAGTCCCGTCGATAAGATCCTCTCTGCTCTCTCTTTGCTCGCGCACAGTCTGCTTAAGGTATCACGGCGGTCATTAACGGTCTATCTTCATGGATGTATGACCTCATACACGCTCCACTCGAGTGAAAATGTGCGGGGCACACAGGACACAGGTAGCTTGTCGTCCTTTCAGAGACGCTTACTCGATACCTGCCAGAAAAGCCGTGGCCGTTATACGGCGTACATTTGAAAGTTAAATGGATTTTTGAAACTCCAACTTTACGATCCGGCGTTACCGAGAATTTTGATTAAAGCGTTTTATTATCCGTAAGATAATTGAAAAAAAACATGCTGTCCGATCAAGTTTTCTTTGCAGGGGAAATGGCAGTTGAAATCTTAAATTCTGTGTAAAATTCCCGTGTGTTTAACTCTAGAACTTTCCTTAACCCCTTCAATGTTACTGATGTCATATGGCGCATCTTTGAAAAAAATTATTAATCTTTAACTTTGAAAAAAATTATTAATCCTTAATCGAAATCAATGAAGTTTGATATCCATAGGTTTTTTCGCTGAATCCGAATCCGGGATCAAAATTTCAAAATTCAAAATGACGGGCTCAAAATGGCTTCCAAAAAATTTTAAAAATTATGCGATTTGCATGAAATTTGGTTTACAAGGGTTTTTCGGTTCATAGAATCAGAATCTGCTGTCGACTACTGCGACTATCTGCTGTCGACTATATAATCTTAACAGAAATTAAGTAGTAAAATATTTTTAATTTTGAAAAATATTTCAATAATACACATTCATTTTCGAGAATTCTATCTGGTCAAATTAAATTTATCTTTTTGAATTTTAACAATTTGACAGCAGATTCTGATTCTGTCACCCGATAGAAACTCCTGTAAATCATATCTCATGTAAATCGTATAATTTTTAAAATGTTTGGACGCCATTTTGAATTTTGAAATTTTGACCCCGGAATCGGATTCAGCGACCTAAAAAACTTTCTCTGACATAGTCGTCATAAATTCAATGCTTTTATGGAGATCACTTTTGGCCCAAAAGCATATTTTTTAACTGACACTGAAGGGGTTCATGAAGGGAAACATGATCAAAGTTTACACAAACCAACGTTTTAAACGTTACTGTTTTTAAAAACATGTTTTGTTTTTCTATTATTACTTTTTTCAATTTCACTGAATTGTAAAAACATTAACAGATTTATATTTATAGATGCTTTCTACACCGAGTAAAAAATAAAAAGGATTGCAATTCGATTATTTTTGCAAGAGTTATGAGCAAATGAAAATGGGTGAACTTTTTTTTAAAGGTTCTAGAGAATTAAATTATTTTTTATTATAATTTTTTTCAACTTTATTGAGTCGCAAACACATCAATATATTCATATTTCTCTGTTTTTTATGCCGATTGAAAAAAAGGATTGAATTTCAATCATTATTCCGGAAGTTATGAGAAAATAAGGATGCGCTGGGTAAAATTTACTCATATTTAGGATTTACGTAATTTTGTGATGTTTAGGGTTCTAGAATTATATAATTATTGACAAGAAAAAAATACCTGAGCCGAAACTCCGAGTCAGTGTTGGCTGACTTAGTCGTCGACGTCAAACGAAGGCTCTTCTTCGTATGTAATAGTTAATTATACGATGTTTATATTATGCACAGCGCGCTCTCTCTCCCTCTCTCTCTTCTCATCGTTCTTTAGCGGATATAACTTTTCAAGTTATATTACACCCGGAGAAACGTTTGAGTCGGACTCGCGCGACGCGCGTTACGGGAGAATTTATATCGCTCCAAATAAATACGTCTTCTAACGAAGTGAAGCGCGATGCCGAAGTTCCGCCAGCGAAGTGAAAACTTTACCTCCGAGGGAATTAGAAGTTCGCGACTTTCGCAGGTAAGATCGTTAGCGGGAACAATCGCGCAGGTAGAAGTGAGCGGGAGGACAGCGGGCGATCTCCCGTTCCGACGGTAGTTTTGCGACTCAAACCTTTCCCGCGGAACGTCTCATCGGGTATGCGTTAATACACGACGAGATAATCAATTCGCTCACCGACTATGGTTAGGTACACGGGGTGACCGATGGGCGGGGTCGTTGATATTTGGCACTCATAAATCCCGGAGTCCTTGCGCTGAGGATATCGTATCCTCAAGGTCCAGTCCTCCGTATGAGGATAGTGTAGTGCCTCGAAACGTTGATCGCTGGTGTAGGTGTAACGACCAACCGTTAGCAGGTGTATGTCCCGGTGCCTGACCCAGGAAACCTGTGGGAAAAAGAGAGTTTCCGTTCTCATCACATCTGCCGTTTCACATCGCACGATCGATCGCCAATTACGTGAACGAGTCTCCTAAAGTCTCACAAGTCTTTCCTATAACTTAAGGTTATCAATGATAAGGCGATGTTGTGAAACCCGTTGCGCATTGGCGATCGATTAGGTCGAGGAATCTGGAACACATGGGTGTTCTTCGCGAAATTAAGAACGACGATACGAGCGACGAGAAACGAAATTGCTCTGTGTTAATGTAAGTACACGGACAAAAGAAATCTCAGAGTGAGTAACTGAATGAGGGTCAGACGAAAACTCGCTGTTTAGAAACAATATCTCTGTTACTGTAACAGAGAACATTCGTTTAAACATTTAGCTGCATTGAAATTTGTCTCATATGAGACACTCAAATTTGTATTTTATTTAGAACCAAGTTTGTCAGTTGGGTTATATATTATATATATAATATATGATATATATAATATATATAATATTTATATCTGTAATCATACAGATTTAGTCGATTTAGATTTAGATACAGATTTAGTCGATTCAACTGAAAAGTTTTCATCCAACTCTGCATTTAAATCTGATATAGGTATTAATCCGTATTAATAATCATTATTTAAAACATGTCTCAGATGAGATACTTATGAGATACAGATGAGATTTTTATTCAGAGTCAGATCTAAGTTCCTTAAATTGAATTATAATAAGTGTGACATCTATATCTGTAGTCGAATGATTCAATTGAAAAACTCTCATCTAACTCCAAATTGAAAGCTGAGTATCTCACTTGAGACGAGTTTCAAGTAATGACTATTGATACGAATTATAGAGCCGTCTCGAGTGAGATTCTCAGATTTAAATTTCGAATTAAATGTGAATCTTTCAGCTGAATCACAATTGCAAATATAATGTCGTATATATATCGTATATATATCGTATATATATCGTGTGAACCAAGTAAATATCTCAAATTTGACTTTAAATTTATATCTCACGTAGGACAAGTTTCAAGTAATAATTATTAATCATAGCCTACATATATCTAACATAGAAATATCTGGATCGAGTGTATTTTTTCGCAGTGTAAAAGCTTAAATGGAAAAGAGATTGTAACGGATATAGTCAACCAAAATGATATGAGATTGTTTTCATTCTAATTGTATCGTATTCTTTCGTTTCCCAGCTTTTCTGCTTTTGCAGCCTCCTATCTAACAATCAGACATATTGCAGAAGAAAATGGAACACTTTACTGCAGACATTATTTTTGTTTGCGGAATACACAATCTCGAAACGCAGCAATGCAGCAAGACGTGAAAATATATATGTGAGTCTACATATATCGTGTGTTATATATATGCTAATTTTGATCAACCAAGATGGCCGCTATAGCCATCTATTCCTCCTCACTCCTGAAGCTTCGCATTCCGTGTCTATAGAGAGGTACCTTATGCTCCAGATATTCCTACGTTTATGAAATCTGAGTATTTCATTTGAGACGAGTTCCGAGTAATAACTATCAATACAGGACTGAGAACGATTGGCTGAGTAGGAATCTTCTACAGGAATCTTCCTGTTCTTGCAGCTGAGTTTCTCATCTGGTATCCAAGTAACAGAAAATTCTGTTACATTGAGGAAATTGTTTTTTCTGTGTAATTACTCGCAATAAGAAGCGCACCGGGACGTATGGAGGATTTCGCATTGTGAGACGGAGCGTGGCATATATATATATTGCGTATAGAGTGGGATCTCGCGTAGGGCACGACCATGTGAGGAACTAACACTATATATCCATAGAGCTGTCGATATCAGGCGTTGCCGGCTGTCGGCGTATTTATCTATCTTACGGTGAAGCAGGCAGGGTTCGCATATATAATGCATTATTTGATAAATATAAGTTGAGAGCTTATTTGCTTGTGCGGAGAACCTGCCCGTTGCCGCTCTCAGCCATGTTGTTAAATTTTTATTATTATTAAATACGGCAGAGCAATCTCACACAGAGACTGGACGGAGTTGCCTCACTAGGAGACAAACCATCGTCGTGCTCCAGGCGGATCCTCCGGCGTTGGTAACGACATTACGCGGAGTTTAGTCGATACAGATCCACGAGTTCCGACAGGAGTAGAGGGCTCCTGTTGAAAAGCTGAATACGCGAATAATAACGAGCTTCTCAAGGAAGTGTTCCCTCGTGTTTGAGGACGGAACGACGTTACGTAATTGCGGAGGAGGTCAACGAAACGTTCATTGAAATTTCAATTTGTCGCTGCGTCTGTGGCTCTCTATGGAGGCGTACGCGCGTCATGCGAGTAAACCATTGCGCGAAATAATTAACTACCGTCTGTTCAAATAATTAATTACTCCCTGTCCTTTAATTCCGGACGACATTAACGCGGCTTCAGGCCGGCCGAGTCGATTGAGTTAACGTGCTGGGAGGGAGG